TCCTCCTCCTCCTCCTCCTCCTCCTCCTCCTCCTCCTCCTCCTCCTCCTCCTCCTCCTCTCTCCCCCCGCCGCCCTCCTCCCTCCTCCGTCATCCTGCGTCTTCCTCCCTGCTCATCCTTCTCCTCCTCGTGCTCTCCCTCGTGCTAGTCGCTAGTTGTCGTTTTCGTCCTCGTCCTCGTCCAGTGCGCCCAGCGCGCCTGGCGCATCGCCGGAAATGGTCCCAGGGGGTGCGCTTGGGGCTCGTGGTGCTGTTTCGCGAGGACGTCTCGAGCGAGGGCGCTGGATTAATTTGGAACACACCAGCGAGCCCGGCGCACCCGGCGCATGGCCGGAAATGGTCCCTATGGGGTGCGTTGAGGGCCCGTGGGGCGGTTTCACGAGGGTGTCTCGAGCGACAGCGCCGGGTCGGGACACGCTCGGTGCGCCCAGTGCGCCCAGCGCATTTGGTCCCGTGCGCTGGGGGCCCGTGGGGCGATTTATCGATGTCTCGAGCGAGGGCGCCGTATCGGGACACGCCCCCTGGCTCGCCCGGCGCGCCCGGCGCATCGCCGGAGATGGTTCTCAGGGGTGCGTTGGGGGCGCGCGGGGCGATTTTGCGAGAATGTCTCGAGCGCGGGCGCCAGATGGGGACACGCCCGGTCCGCCTTGCGCTTACCGAAAATGGTGCCTGGGGGTGCGTTGGGACCCGTGAGGCGATTTTGCGAGGACGTATCGAGCGAGGGCTCCAGGTCGGGACACGCCTGGTGCGCCAGGCGCGCCCGGCGCATCGCTGGAAGTGGTCCTTGGGTGCGTTGGGGGCCCGTGGTGCGATTTTGCGAGTATGTCTCGAGCGAGCGCTCTGGATCGGGACACGCCCGGCGCGCCCAGCGCATCGCTGGAAATGGTCCCAGGGGATGCCCGTGGGGCGATTTTGCGAAGATGCTTCGAGCGAGGGCGCCAGATCGGGACACCCTTGGCGCGCCCGGCGCATCGCTGGAAATGGTCCAGGGGTGCGTTGGGGGCCTGTGGAACGATTTCGCGAGGATGTCTCCAGCGAGGGCGCCGGATGGGGACACGCCCGGGCGCCCGGTGCATCGCCAGAAATGGTGTATTTCGGGGTGCCATGGACGCCCGTGGGGCGATTCTGCCAAGATGTCTCGAGCGACGGCGCCAGATCGGGACACGCCCGGCGCGCCTAGCGCATCGCAAGAAATGGTCCTTGGGGGCGCGTTGGGAGGCGATTTTCCCGCGCGCAGGGGGTCAGGATGACGTGAGTTCCACATCAATTATCTCAACATATCATATAATATCATACAGCATGATGTCATATAGCAGTACCGTACGAGTAGGTAAGAGTTTAATTTGATGGTTTGTACTGGCATCGCATAAAGTGTTGCATAATATACCACATCACAATACAACATGTTATAATACAGTGTACTCTATGTTTCTTCAACGTTATGTTTCATGATTCAAAATGATATAATATGTCGGAGTAAATCAGACTACCCAGTAATATAATGCTGTGAACGATGTCATTTAAAAACAGTATAACATCATATAATACCAGGTGGGTCAAGTGGCACGCGCGACATGGCTCTTGCACAGAAGGGAAGGGGGAAGGAGGAGGAGGAGGAGGAGGAGGTGAAGAACGATGACGGGGAAGGGATATAAGGTGCGACAAATCGGAGAAGGAGGGCCAAACGAGGGCCGCAAGATGGGCTTGACAGGGCGAGCTCGAGGAGGTTCCAAGGGCCCTCCCCCGCGAGATGGCCTCCAAGACTTCCAACTTGCTCCCAGGAGGCCTCCAATAAGCACCCAAAAAGTATACATAGGATCCGGAAAACTCCCGGGGGGCCCGAAAGGGAGGCGGAGGGGGCACGGGGCGGGCGGGGGTTTCATTGGGCCACCGGGGAACGTTGGGGGAAAGGGGGGGTGGGGGGCGGGGGCGGGGCGCGCTGTGCGACGCGGAATACAATGGTCGGGGCGGAGGGGAGCATTGGGCGGAGGTTCCACTGGGCCGTTTCGGAACGCTGGAAAGAGAAGGGATGGGAGGCGGGGAGGAGGGGCGCGGTGCGACGCGAAATAAAACTGTCGGTGCGGAGGGGGCACTGGGCAGTGGTTCTGGGGTGGGGGGGAGGGTGGCGAGGGGAGGGAGAGGGGTGCAGCGGGGCACGGCGCGATGTGACGCGGAATATCATGGTCGGGGTGGAGGGGTGGGGACACTGGGCGAAGGTTCCATTGGGCCGCTCGGGAACGCTGGAGCGGGGGTCCAGGGGGGAATGGCGGAGAATGGGGGGAACGTGCGGCAAAACGTTGGGGAGGGGTGGGGCAGGGGGGGGGGGAGGGGGAGGGCGCGGTGCGACGAAGAGAGGCAGGACGGGGAGGGGGGGGGCTGCGGTGCGACGCGGAGTAAAATTGTCCGGGCGGAGGAGGCATTGGGTTCGGGAGCGATGGGGAGGGGTAGGAGGGGGAGGGGAGGGGTGGGGCGCGGTGCGACGCGGAATGAAATGGTCGGGGTTGGAGGGCATTTGGGCGGAGGTTCCACTGGGCCGTTGGGGGGCGCTGGGGAGAGGTAGGAGGGGGGCGGAGGGGGGGGGGCTGTGCGACGCTGAATAGAATGGTCGGTACGGAGGAAGCACTGGGCGGAGGTTCAATTGGGCCGCTGAGGAACGCTGGTGAGCGGTAGACGGGGGGCGGGGAAGGGGGGGCGCGGTGCGACGCGGAATAAAATGGTCGGGGCGGGAGGGCATTTGGGCGGAGGTCCATTGAGCCGCCGGAGAACGCTGGGGACAGGTAGGAGTGGGGCGGGAAAAGGGGGGAGGGTCGCGGTGCGACGCGGAATAGAATGGTCGGGGCGGAAGGGCCCCTGGGTTGAGGTTCCATTGAGTCGCCGAGGATGGGCAGGAGGGGTTGCGGGGAGGGGGGCGCGGTGCGCCGCGGAATCTAGTAGTCGGGGCGGAGGGGGCATTAGGCGGAGGTTTCATTTGGCTGCTGGGGAACGTTGAGGGGAGGGCAGGAGGGGAGCGGGGAGGGGGTGCGGTGCGACGCGGAATCAAATTGACGGAGCGCCATGCACCCGGTGCAAGATATGTTTGAAATGTGTTATGATATGATAGAAATACTAAAGTAATGTATACGGATGTTGCGTGATAGTGTATATTATCTTACGCTCGGATGTAACGCAGTGTAGAGTAGTGTGATACTCCCGGGTATAGCCATAGGACACGATAGTGGAGTCATACATCATACTGTAACACATT